TCTAACACTGAAGAAATGGGTTTGACCATCTATTTTAGCTAAAGAATGCTCTCTCCTGATTCTACCAGGAACTTCAGTTTTGAACATCAGACTACTGTGCACATATGCTTTTAATCTAATTTAACATACATGTGTGAACACACAAGCCATGATTCCTTTATTGAACACCATACATGCACAAAATAAGTTTCGATTAGTGCAGGCTACAGAATCAATCCTCCCCCACCTCAACAAAAACTGCCGGAGGCCACACATATAAAGAAATGTATGCAAATTGAAAACAATCGCACAATTACCTTTTCAAAATGATTTAATTTTAATTAACATATTTCTATTATATCTGGATGTTTGATTTAAAACACTTAAAAGGAGCAAATGTAGATGTGATAAAATATTTACTTATGTATCAGGATTTGGGGTTTAGCAGTTACCAATTCATTTTCTGATTTAATAGTTGCCCAGTAGAAAACCATACTGGTTGATTTATAAATTCAAAATTGTTTCTAGATCTTTCTTTCTGTCTTCCTTTTTTTGAAAATAGGGAAGGAGTTCTTGTCCTGACTCCTGATTTTTCAAGTAGTCTAGTCCAACTATTCACTTATCCCAAGTGATTATAGTTTAAACCCAAATAGAAGGATTTGGGCTTAAATTCCATGTCCAAATAGTTGTGTTCCACAATTTATCAATATGCAATTACAGGGAATCTATTGGAGCCAGATGCATGCAGTCCGGACACAAGCAGACTTGAAATTAAGACTTTCTCAGTTTTTTTTAAGACTTTCTCAGTTTTAAAACAGGGCTCACTAAAGAACTGCATCCATTTTTAACCGATCGGACTATGTGAATTTTCATTTCAAAAGTTCAGTGATGCGGGATCCCTGGGTGGTGCAGCGGTTTGGCGCCTGCCTTTGGCCCAGGGCACCATCCTGGGGACCCAGGATCCAGTCCCACGTCAGGCTCCCGGTGTATGGAGCCTGCTTCTCCCTCTGCCTGTGTCTCTGCCCCCTTCTCTCTCTCTGTATGACTATCGTAAATAAATAAATTAATTAATTAAAAAAATAGCAAGGTACTATTTCACACATAGAGATTAAAAAAGAAAAAGTTCAGAGATGCCTTAAAGCACTGAAACTTCCAACACTTAAAAAAACGTAGTGTGAAGTGAGTACCCAGAGCAAAGACAACCAAAAAATGTTGTCCTTGATGTTTTTCCTAAAGAAGGGGTTCTCTCCCCTCCCCCACTCAATGGCTTTCACAACAATGTCTTATCAGAAAGTCTTGTGAGAACGCTTCCCTGCAGTCTCATTCACAAGATTAAATCTAGTGCCTGGAACAGAGACACGGTGTTTCAGCGTTCAACGACATAACATTCAATGGAAGAAGCTTCATTTCACATCCTTGATATACCCGCAAATCAGGCTCAAAAACCACGGAAGGCTCAGAAATGATCAAGGAATAGACGCCTGATGGAACAGATGCACAGATGCTGTGCTGGAAGAAAAGACAAATGCTGAAGTGCATAATGATTTTGAAAAGATTTCTTTATCAGACATGTCATTTGTTTGAAAGACCAGGGTTGTTGGCATCAGATGTGGGGTACCAGCTTGTTAGCAAAGTGAAACATGATGGCTGCTAGATACTGACGATTGATGAATCAATTGAAATCACTGATGTTGCTCAACTGAACGTCTTCATTGAATACGTCAGTGGTCAGAAGTTAAGGAAACACCTTTTGTTTGGGGTTCCCACCACAACCAGTAAGATGTCACATCTCAGTGAATACCCCGGCTAAATATTTTTTATAAAGACTAGGGAAGTCCCCAAAGAAATGTTATCAGCTGTCCAACCAATTATATACTCTGTTGATGATCAGCCGCAAAAATATAACATGAACCATCTTTTCCATGTAAGTTCTGGCTGGGTCACATTAGGGAATCATTTGTAAACAAGTCCTATGCACTGGGTTCCTATCAAAGTGTTACAATGCATTTATTCATCTGTATCACAAATTGTCTCCTATTATTTACTCTGGGACATTTATAGAGAGAACTGTTGGCAGTAACATTTTTCTCATTTCACCAATGAAGCTGCTGATGATCTGATTAAAAACAAAGAGGACTTTTTTTTCCCTAAGGAAAAGCAACAGGAGCAGGAACACTTCTTTAAGAATCAAAGAGGGTGTTCTCCCGCTTGCCGCCGCACCCCCACCCCCTCCCTATTTTAAGAGAAGACTGTGCTGACTGATTTGATCCCTGGGACCAATGTCACTGATAGGAGGATCCGGCCACGGGAGATACTACAGCACTGCACCAGACAAGTTTTGAAATTGGTCATTTAACAGAGCCTTGCTCTTACTAAGTAACTAACAACCAATACGCAAAACAAATTTAACATGGACAACCCCCACATCTAATAGGGCAAAGTCAGAAAGAAATAGACAAAAGTGATAAACCAATTTCCAATTTCGAAAGGAATAATTAAAAGTCCCCCAGACCTCTGGACAAAAGCCACTATCATTCAGGACTACAAGCTCTCTGGGAAGCTCCAAGTCCCCAAAATGAGTGGGAAGGAAAGAAACACTTCCACCTCGGTTCATCTGGGAAGAGCTTACTGTGTTTGGTGTGACTTTTTTGTTTTACTGCATGAATAGACTTATCACTGAGGGGGAAAAATGCATTTCATAATGCTGTAATAGAGCATTTCTTCACTTAGGCCTCAGTTTTCACAGAAAATAATCAGAGTATCCTTTTAAAACATAAGAAAACCAAACGTATGGCTGTAAAGTATAAAGACTGCTGGCCGTCGTTTGTTTTGTGTTTTAATCTTAAGTGAGGAGGCCATCACTTAGGGAGTCCCTAAACTTATTCTAAGGATGCTGATATTGATCAAAACATGTTGAGGACCTTTTGAGAATTGTTTTCAAAGCTACCTGAGCCCCATAAGAATATCGGTCTCACTATTCTACAGTCACATCCCCATAATACTAACATAAATTTAGTAGGGGGAAACTGAATAATTTAAGACATCATACAATTTAATCTTTTTGTTAAATGTGAGTGCCAATTTTCACACTGCAAAACTGTCATTTGGTTTAAATATAGTAGGAATCGAGCTATTGACTAAAGTAAAATTTTATCAAATGAAAAGTTAATCACTAAATTACTATGTTTACAGATTTTAAGTACACAGCTTATTTTTATCTAGAAATAAGTGTATTCATTGGAAGATAACAAACAACAGGCATTTAATAACATTTTAATTTTATGTGTTTAAATATTCATAGCTATGTTCATAAACCCACATGCCCAGTCTAGCGATTATGCTTATGAAATGCAGTATTTCTTATACACCCTAAGTATCCATCTATTTTCTGAAAACCGCATTCATTTGCCCCCCAGTACAAATCACTGCGTGTTTTCAGCAAAATAATCCATAATATTAAAATTAGGAAACTACCCAAAAGCAACAATAGCTACCTGCAAGAGGAAAAGAAGGGAATTCTCATTTGTTCAGGGATGACTGTGTGCCAGGTCTTTATAGATTTTTTTGTGTTAATCCTTAGAATAACCCTAGGAGGTATTATTATCACAGTGCAGCTGGCTCATGCACAACTTTGTAGTCTACCTTTCCAAGGGCTTTTTAAGTAATCCCATTATAATACTCCACTGCCTGTCTGAAAGAACACAGTTCTTGTTCCTAAAAACAAAAACACAACAAAAAATTCTACCGACATTGTTACAGGGAATATAAAAATGTCAAATTTTAGGGAGCTGAGAATCAAAGAATGATAGTCTTTCATAACTAGCCTGTACTCTTACTCTTGATGTAAATGAACAACAAAAATCAGAGGGAGATGAGCCATTTTCCCGCTACTTAAAAATTACAGTATCATCAGTCTACTTAGAAATTTTAATAAAACTGGATCTAAAGAACCAATAGAATATACTCTATCAGGCTGCAATTTTACAATACCTCATCATGGCATAATCACGTCAAATAAATAGAATGATGGCCACTCGCAGATTACATTAGATTACGGATGTTAAATTTCAAATGAGAAATCAAGTATCTGGAGTTCAAAGAATTTCTCTGAAGTGTCTTCATCTTCTCTAATGCTACAGTTAATTAACGACAACTTGTGTTTTAATAACACCTATATTCTATGATTCTGTAAGTGTCCTAATCAATGGTTGCCCAGTTGTCTACCCCAAGAACTACTTTGGGGCTCCTGAATAATAGACATGTAGATGTACTACAAAGTCTGCTCTCCAGAGGCCCTCCTTTCTTCTTTGAGGCCATTTTTAGCTTTGGCTTTCTCTCTCTTTCTCACCAGAAGAGTGGTGTGCACATGCCCATGTTCCTCCAAACTCCTGCTTCCAGTTCTTCCTTCTAATCACTCCTATCAATCTGTGACTCTGAATTTTTCCCCTGAATTCCCCAGCACCTGGCCCTGAGTCTTCCTGGGAAGACACTGTGAGCTCAAAACAATTGGCTGAGGTTTGTTCAGTGGATTTGTTTGTTTGTTTTTCTGCAGGTTTATTGCTCAGTGAAAGCCCAGCTATATCACGAAAAATGTGACTGGAATATAAATTGTCCCAATTCAACAGGTTAATCAACATTATTTAGGAGTTATAGCTGTCACCATAATAAAACAATAATCACAAAAATTTTTAATGGTTTTATTTAAGTCAAACAACAATTGTAGGGATCCTGGGTACTGCTTTTTGAACACAAACATACAAAATTAACAAAACAAGTATTTGTGTTTCTAGTCTTAAACACATGAGCTCTACATGTGGAATGCAGATATTTGAAAGAGATTTTCAACAAGGTCAACACAATGCATGAGATAATACATACTGGATTACGAATTAGGCCAGTCTTCACCTCCATCTTCCCACTTATAATCCTAAAGTGGCAAAATGTGAGGGGAGGGCATGGGGGGGGGGTGGAAGCTTTTTTGCTTTTTCATTTCACAAATGATTGCTCAACACAGACTGAAATACACCAAAAGAAGAAAATAGTCTTTTTATACCTAGGGAAGAAGCTACTACTCTTAAAATGATCACTTCAAGGTAACAGACATCCAAATTGATGTGGTTTTCTTTGAAACCTCATCAGTAAATCATTTCTTGCACAGTAGGCTCGGCATTAACCCTGCATTTAGGATAGGTAGTGTTATGGAGGGCTGGCTGCTGCATACCAACGTCAGTATCAAGTTCTTCGTCAGGAATTAGAGTCTGTCCCGGATACCAAGCAGGACAACACTGGCAAAAAAACAAAAAGTGAACTGCAGATAGGTCAAAACAGGCTATATTTACTCTTAGAAAAATGTCTTAAAATGTTACTGGGTATGTTCTTTTAAATGCTAGTTTATATAATAGAACACAATGGAATCTTTTCTGTTTTAACACCATACGTTCAAACGGTCTTTAAGTACGTTGTGTTTTAAGGCAACACATTAGACAGCATACACATCCCGTTAGAGATCCAACATAATAAACTTGCCATCTGGTGTCGGCTCTTTCTACAGTTACCGAAAGCTCCCATTTCTCTCCATTCATCAGTTGAGTCAACAGGTTGAACTGTCATCACATTAAGAATATGCAAAATTGTTTGCTTTGTTGTGTGATTTTTTGTGTGTGTGTGTGATTTTGAAAGAAGGATATTTTCTTTCGTTTTAAGAGATTTTTTTTTTTTTTTTTTGGAGACCGGAGTTTCTTGAATCTTATTCAAAGAAGTTTTGCTCCTGTGTTATTATTAATCCAAGTACTCTGAACCACTGCTCCCTTTTAAAGCTTCCTGCAAATTTTTCAAGGTGTAAACTGCAATGGTTTATGATAAAAACCAAGCCTCAGTGGGAAAAGCAGTGCCCTCCGGAGTCCTCAAAACAAATAAGAGTTCTACCAATTTATCACTCATCCAGTTTTGCAGAAATTCCATTCACATAACCCCTATGCAAATCAACTGGTTTTACCATATCAAATGACCCAAAGGACACCACAGGTATCCAGGGGAGACAGTTCACCAGTGCATCTTTAGCTTGATTTTAATGTCAATTTCAGAGACAATCCTGGCTCTGTAGTTCTTATAGAGACAAACGGCCTAACCATTAGCTAAAGCTTTTTCAAGTAAATGAACTTTTCATTTTTCACACTTTCGGTACCAAGAGATTTAGCCAGGGAAAAGCTCAAAGCTCAGGGTTCAAACTACAGCATGGAAAAATAAAAGTGTAGACCAAGCACCATCTACTTCCTTTGATCTCTCAAAGATGTCAATACTCCATTCCAGTGGGGGGGGGGGGGGGGAGTGGTTGAGCCAGGGAAGGAAACTTCAACCAAAGGGGGAAAAAAGATCTGTTTGGTGGCAATTTCAAAACAAGTTTCCAAACTGCAGAAGGGACTGCAGCCCCTTTGACTTGCAGGAATTACACATAAGAAAAGGACAGAAAATACTACAAGGCATGCTTATTATTTTAATTGCCAGGGGTTTCCAATGCAAAGCACGACAACTTAAATGCATATTCCAAATTCTTGCTCCAAAGCCGTCTTCTTTGTGCACTGAAAAGGAGGAAAGACAACCCCATCAATTGTTCTCTGCAGATAAAGGCACTGTTTTGCAGATTTCCCTCCAGATCTGGGCCAGCTTTGCTAATGACCTGCCCACCCACCTGGGACCCTTCCCAAGGTGGCCCCCCCAGGAACTGCCCCACACCTTCAGGTGCCCAAATGCTCAACAGTGGGCAGCCCCGAGAAGGCTGCCTTTTCGTTTGGCTGCGGGCCTCCACCAAAACTCAAACCTGAAATTCTTGCCGCTCATTTTCTTATTGGAAGCAGGGGTCAACAGCTACACCTTTTTATCCTACTTTTTTGGGTTTTTTTTTTTTTTTGGTCCTCACGAGAAACACATCTGAAGGTGAATCTACAACCTTTTTCCGCAGAAAAAAACACGAGCTCGAGATCCCAGAGCTACCAGGGGTTCTTTCACCCGCCAGCATTTCGACAGTTAAGCAAAAGCTGAATGCAAGTTTTCGGGACTGTGACCCGTTTTCCCCTTCCCTTAGCGTAGGATCACCAGCTGCTGCAGCATACAAAAGCTGCGACAGTGCCATTTTTCAAAGGACCACGTTTAAATGAGATATGCAGAGAACGGGGCCCGAGCAACGTGTAAGGCTCAAACTCGCAACGGCCCGTCTCGAGCGCGAGAAACCAGGCCTTTGTACATGGAAATAGTACCTGCGTGTTCCCCTCTCGGGCCCTGCCATTGTCCTGCAGGAGAAAAGTGTCCGCTCATTGGCATTTTTAGGGGCTCGGACTTGCTGTGCACTCCCGACCCGGCACGAGAACGCAAAATGGCATACCCCACCCGGAGGGCCGCAGCAGAGGTTTTCAGTCGGGACAGGAGGGTGGGGCGGCCTCCAGCGGGCTTCAAGTCCAAGTCCCCTGGGAGCCCCAACCCCCAGAAGGCTCGCCAACTTCCCACGCCCAGAATGCCCTGGAAGAAGTTCTCCGCTTCCGTTTTTTTTTTTTTTTTTCTCACAATTTCGCGTTCGGCCGCCACGACCTACATTCTCCCGCGAGGCGCTCGGAGCCGAGGAATAACGAGGGAGTTTAAAGCGCACAACAGTTCGGCAGCCCGCAGTCAGCGCTTTGCTGCGCTCAGCGGGGGTTCGCATCCGGCCGCCATGTTCACCACTCGAGAGCCGCCCCAAAACCACCCCCCTTCCCCACACCCCTCTCCTCGCCTTCCCTCCCTCCCCTCCCCGCTCCGCCGAGGCCGCGACGCAGCAAAGCCGCTTTCAACTCTCCCCACCACCCCCTGGCAGCGAGAGCGGCTCGACGGCTGCGGGGTATGCGCCTGCGCGGCAGTGGGGGCGAAGGGGGGGCGCGGCGGGCTTGAAAAGGCCGGAGCGACGGGGAGCGGGGGAGGGGTTGGGGCCCGGGCCGAGCCTACTCTTTCCTCGCAGCGGGTCCCCGCTCCGGCCCCGGCCCGGCTCTCGCACGTGCGCGCTAAAAACCCACTTCAAAGTACGCTCCCGGTGCGGGGGCGGCCCCCTCCGGGCCGGCCTCCGGCCCCTAGCACCCCCACACGGGCCGCCAACCAGACCCCGGGCTTCACTCCCCTCCAGCCCCCAGGCCCCGCGTAAAGACCGGGAGGGCCGAGCCGGAGGACACCCGCTTAGGAGCCCCGGCAATTCGGGAGCGTCCTTCGGGCGTCCGAAAGCCTCCCTCCCTCCCTTGCTCCCGCTCCCCCCCCCGCCCCCACCGCCAGGAGAAAATGAATGGAACACAAAGTTTGCGGCCAGCGCTACACTGTGGCCTTCGGAGCTCACCATTGTTTGGGCTCGTATTGACCCCAGGTCCGGATTAGGCAGCGGCTGATTCCTGCTTTACAGCCCCGCCGGCCTAATGAGGCCTGGAGGCGATGGGGCGCGAAGCGTCCGCGGAACCCCGGCGACCGCCGGCTTACGGCCGCCAAGGGCCCTGTAGGTGGAGGTCAAAGGGTCAGCGGGCCGAGACCGCGAGAGAACTGACCCTAGGAAACGATGTCCCCTCCTCCCACCCGCCCCCTACCCCCTTGGCCCGAGCTTGGACCAGGACTTGCAAGAGCTTGCTGTGTTCACGGGGACCCTGGGCGCCCCGACGAGGGGCCCGAGGAGCGCCGAGCGGGAGCCCTGACTTCCGAAACGCCTGGCCCGGTCCCCGGGGCAAAACCTCGAGGGTCAGACCGCCAGAGAAAAGCAGCCTAGCTGCCAGGCAGAGAACTCGCCCCTCAGGGCCTGGGCACGCCGGTGGCTTTTCTTCCACAAACTTAAGTGGCAAGGGGCCCTTCAACTTTTCTCCTGTTTGGGGGGAGGGCGGGCTTATAGGGGGAGGAGAAGGTGCCAGGGGGCTCAGAGGCCAGGGGACGGCGGGCGGCGAGGAGGGGGGAGGGGCGAGGAGGTCCTGAGCACAACTTTACTGGGAGGCTTTGTGACCGGAGGCGGTCCCTGCTCGCTCTCCAACCTTCGCAGTAGCTGAGACCGACTGCCCAGCTTAGCCTGGACCCTGATCTTTAACCTTCCCAACTGGATGAAGGCCAGACTTCTGTCTGCTGGGAAATAGACACCTCCCCTTTCCCCACCCAACAGTGGAAATCTTAAACTAAGCCACCCATTTTGGAAAAGATAATGGACTTTTAACAAAGGTCTTACCAGGTGCAAGAAGGAAAATAACAGGTAGATCACTAAAAGCCCAGTTGACATTCATGGTTTCCAGCTGATCCGTCTTTAGGGTTGCAAGGTTTTTTGTTTGGGGTGGGAGTGGGGGACTTATTCTTTAAGGTATTTACTGGAAATTCAAGAATATGAACGTGGACTTCCAGAATCAGATGATAGGAAGAAATCTGTTAAAAGTTTTGTACTCAAATAAACTTCTTTGCCAATAAATGACAGGGCAGAGGACAGACTATTTGAGAAACGTGATCCTACACCATAATGAGAGGAAATCATGTAGAGGGGCAAAGTTTTACTTTATCTTAATATTGCTTATTCTCATTGTTAATTGCTATCTTGCCCTCTCAGGACACAATGCTTTACTGTAAAATTTTATGGTACAATAATACCAAGCCCGCTAAGGAAAAATCAAACTCTTTATGTCTCCTAAAGAGAAATTTAATATATTTACTGGCGGGGAGGAGAAGCAAGTTTCTGAGAGAATCTTGCACAACCAACCCACCAGTCAACTCCCATTTAAGACAAGGTTAAGTTGGGGGTGGAGAGGAAATTCATGGAGAAAACAGTAAACTGTATAAGTTCCAATGCACATTTCAGAAGAAAAGCACTATTTAGACTTCAGTTGGAAGACATTTAGCGTCAATATTATGAATATACACTTTCTGAAAACCTGCTGAGCATTTAAACCGGTCTCTGGCTTGAAGTGAAGGAAAAATACTGAATAGGAATTTGGTCCAGCACCCTCAATGTCAAGGTCAAGATTGAAATGTCTGGGGGTAGCAGTGGTGTACTGACCAGGTTACCTGCTCTTCACTTGTCAAGTCATCCCAATCTCTCTGTTCATGGCATTCAGGCCCTTGCCTTGTCTATTGGTGGAGGAAAAGTATATAAAAAAAAACAACCGTTCTCCACAAACAAAAAAATTGCATCCAAAGCAATTTGCAATTAGAAACTGTCAGTAATTGTTCACAAAGATCAGTAGATGACTTAAAATAGACTGCTTCACCTGTATCCAGGAAATCAAAGTTTCTTTTAATTATCAGGAGTTCTCTGAGCATTTCAATTTAAGGTTGATTTATTTGAACATGAAAAAAAATGGGCACTAAATACAAAAATGTTATAAATAAGATGTGCCAAGACTTTATTTCTTCAAAAGAACAATAAACAAAATTCTCCAATTTAAAATGATTATGTATAATACCAAATTGACTGCCACCAAAAAACCTAGAGCACTGCCCCTTCAAAAGAAGGAGGTACTTAAGCCTATTCATTACACTTCTAAATTCTTTACAATTCCTTATCTCCACCATTCTATTTGCTGATTTGCAAGCTGGTTATTCATGCAGAGATTGGGCCCTCAATATTAAACAGTACCCTAAATTAGTTTAAAAAAAAGGTCTCTCAATACTCTACCCAGTCCAACCCCCCAAAATAGTAATCAGGTTTTTTTTTTCATATAACTGTAAAAGAACTGTCCAAATGAGTTGCTTCACTGAAGATTAAATGGATTGTTAATATTTTATCACAAAGCAAACAACCATTTTTCATTGTTATTGATTTTAATGGAAACAATGCTCTTAACATCTGTGCCTACAAACCATGAACTTTAAAAATACATATTTTGCAAATGTTTTTCTTTCCATATCATTTCAGAACCGCTGCAGTTATTACACCGCTATAAAAATGTTATGAATAACTGTGATAATTATGAATTGAACTATATACAGCAAAACAAATCAGCCTTTGCCTTCCAAAATTGTAAATGGACTATGGTTCTTTTAAGAAGCACTTTAACCATAAGCACGGCTCGACTGGCCTTACTCATCACCACTGTTTCAGACATACGCTTACTTTTGAAAATATATAGATAGCTAGATAGATTTGATAGGCAGATTAGGTAAGTCATAGATACAAACATATATATGTATATGGGTGATCTCTCGGTAGAATACACAGACATGCATCCTGCTGCAATGTTCATTTTTATGTAAGGTAATAGAAAAAACTAAAGGACATAAGACTCATTAGGTTACCTTATGTTTATATATGTAGGGCAGGGATGATTAAATCCAGCTTCTCAGTCTTTGAAATACAAGATTGAGATGTCATGGCCACTAACTGAACTGATCAGTAATATTTGATTTGCATGCCGAAAATCCAGGACAAACATTTAAACTCGCAGTTAAACAACCATCTGAGCTACAGATAAAGAAAGGAAGGTCTCCCCAGATGGAAACTGACACTGTAAGGAGTCTACACTGCAATAGAAAAATAATTTAACAATTAAAAAAGGGATCTGAGTGAGTTATAAATACCAACAAACAAGATTTCATTTGCTTACGTCTCCTCTTTGTAGAAGGAGGCTGTTACAAAACAAGAGAAAGGAGTCAGTGGTTCAAAAACTGTAAATTGTGTTCTTCTTTCAAAACAATAAAATTTAATGCTAAAGCAGTTATAATCAAAAGCTGTACAGCATTTGTTAGAAAACATTTTTTCCATAAATATTGTTCAGTTCCCGGCACTTGTAGCAATAATTAAATTACAAACGATAAATATGGCATCAATGGATATGTATTTACAAAAAAAAAAGTTATTACAAAAGGCAACTGTATACTAAACGTCACAATTTGTGTAGAGTAACATCACATCCTCAGCCTGAAAAAATACTGAACAACAGTTTCGACCCCATTAGACAAAAATACATTCACAAGTGTAATGCTTTGAGGCAAAGTTCAAGACATAACAGGACTTTGGCACGGTTTAAGACTGTGAGAGTTTAAACAATCACCACTAAAGGCGAAGAATTTCCATCAGTTTAACATCACCACCACCAACAAGCCTTCTATAACTTCCTCTCAAGAAACAGGACAAGTGTTAAAATGAGCTGAAGGAGTTTAGGAATGGGGTGTGCAGAGAGCAAGAGAAAAGGGAGGAAAAAGCAGTGAAAAGATTTTTTTGAAAATCCTTCAAATGCCAAAACATATTTTCTAATCCTGAGAAAAGGGCATGGCTACTTTTGGATCTTGCCCCAAAACCTTCCTGGACAATTGCAATTACCATGATGTAACCCTATATATAGCCTCTTGCCTTAAAAAAAAAACTCCATTTCCATCTGATTGGTCTCAGTTTCCTTTTAAAAATGCATTTGGTCCATTCTATAGTTAACAGGGTTTGTGTTTGTGTTTGTCCTCAGACGTACCATTCGTTAAAATTGGGAGGAAGTCCAGGGTTGTGGCTGGTGCTAGTTTGAACTGCAGAAGGGGTTTTAGTGGTATCTTTACTGTTTGCAGAAGCTATAGCGGGTGGAGTGGAAGATTCATAGCCTGAACTGGCAGCAGGGGAGGAATCTGACCCTTGAGATTCATGAACCTAAAATTAACATGTATATATTATAATGAATATAATTCCAACTGGCATTTTGCAAGCAAAAACAAGAGCAGAATTCAAGCACTGTAAGAGCAAGACCGCCCAGTGACCCACTTAAACGAGAAATGCTGCTGATTTGGGGGTTTTTTGTTTTTAATTTCCATATTACCGATGTCTAGAAAACCCGGAGATGGTCGCCAACGAAAACAGTTTCAGCCCTAAGACTGGCATTAGGGAAAAGGAATACACAGCACTCTGTCTTATTCGTGCCCTTTTTCCGCGGATGGAGTGGGATAAGCACTTAGTCTTGGGGGGGGGGTGCTATAAAATAACTCCCTCGCCCGCCCAGGTTTCACCAAGACCGCTTTGGTTTGGGAAAGCAGGTACGGAGAGAGGTGGCAAAGGCGCCCTCGCTCTGCGAGGTCTCAGACAAATGCGTGGGAAATCAGACCACGCTCCTCGGCCCTATTGTTTGATCGGCAGCCGAAGAGCTAATGAACCATCCACCCCTGGGTTCGGCGCCGGCACTCTTGGGTTCCCACCGCGGGCTGTGCCGGGAAGAGGCGACCACCGCAACCTGAAGCCCAGGCGAGCTCGGTTAGAGCTTCCCAGTAAACAACCAATTGTTCCCTCTGCTCCCTCCTCCTCCCCACTGTGCTCTCCCCACGGTGCTCTCCCCCACCCCCCTTCGGGTCCCCAAAATGGGTTCAAGGTGTCACCGCTGGAGCAAATCGGGTTTAACGTGGAGGATACAGGGTTGGCAGCGCGGGCGCTTCCGTTCCGCGGCCCGCTGTCGGGCCGAGTGTTTATAAACCGCCGACCGCTAATAAAGAGGTAATTACCTTCATGTGCTTGCGCAGGGAGCTCGGGTGCGTGTAGGACTTGTCGCACACTTTGCAGATATAGGGCTTGTCCGAGGTGTGCACATGCATGTGCTTCTTGCGGTCGCTGCTGTTGGCAAAGCGTCTGTCGCAACCTTCGAATTCACATTTGAAAGGTTTCTCACCTGCAAGAGGCAAAAACACAACGGGGGAAAATAAGGTCAGGTCCCGGAGCTTCCTAGGGCCCAGCAGCAGGAGACGGAGCGGCCGGCGGTCTGGCCAGAGAGGGAGCGCCGACTGGGGGCGGCTGTGGCATCTTGTTTCCCTGGAGAAAGATGGAGAGCGCTGGTGGAGCCCGCTGGGCTGGGAAGTGGTGGTCGGGGCGGGGGTGGGGCAGGGCCGGCCCAGAACCTGCGCAGCCCTTTGTTCTCGCGCAGGATGGGGAAGCATCAGGCTCCTCCAAACTTTCCCCTAACTTGTGCTTCCATCCCACCCGGCCCGGGGCTCCCAACGCGTGGCCACGCTCGGCCGCTACCTCGGCGACGTAACCCAGCCCGGGCGGGACAATGGCCCGGGGACGGGGCGATCCCGTTCTGTTCCTTCCTTTGTACCTTTTAATTCTCCTCTTTCAAATGCAGCGGTTTTGCTAAACCCAGTATCAAAAAGCATGGGTCGTCGTACTTAACGTTCGAAAAGAGAAACAGTTTTACAAGATGTTCTGAACAAGCCACGAAACGGAGGTGCCTTTTCTACTTTAGCTTTCCTCCCCAAGGACTGAATGGAACCTGGAACTCCAAATAAAAATAGTTTGACAAAAGTATCAGTCATTTAATTAGGAGATGTGCCAATCAAGGGTAAAAAAGAGCGGAAGTAACCGAAAGTTAGTTTTCATTAGCATTTGTATGGTCGCCTTCCCCGAATGTGTGCCGAGAGCTAAGTCGCTTGTAAGCAATCCGCTCTCGTCACATTCGGAGTCCCTTCCTAGTAACCCAGAAAGAGAGACAAAAAGAGGCGGCGCCAGTTTGCTCCTGGGCGCGAGAAGGTTCCAATTAGTTCCTGAGACCGCGGAGCCTTCGGCCCGGGAAGTTAGAACTGGGCGAAAGCGCCGCGGGGCGGGGAGGACGAGAGGTGGAGGGACTGTGACAGCGCTTCTTTCCCGAACGGCCCCGGCGGGGCGCCGCCCCTCTCTTTGGTCGCCACCCCTCTCCCGCGCGCTGCAAGTCGGCTCCGTGGCGCGGTGCCACGGTGAATCCCGCACCCGCCTGCCTTCCCCCTTACCTGTGTGGGTCCTCTTGTGGATCTTGAGGTTCTCGGAGCGGGCAAAGATCTTTCCGCAGCCCGGGAAGGGGCAGGGGAAGGGTTTCTCGCCCGTGTGCACTCGAATGTGGTTGACCAGTTTGTACTTCGCCTTGAAGGACTTGCCCTCGCGAGGGCATTCCTCCCAGTAGCAGACGTGGTTGTTCTGCTCCGGGCCCCCCACATGCTCCATGGTGACATGTGTCACCAGCTCGTGCATGGTGCTGAAGGTCCGGTCGCAGCTCTTCTTGGGCCGGCTCAGCTGAGCCTCGTCGATCCACTTGCACGACAGCTCCTGTTTGATGGGCTGACGCATATAACGGAAGAAGGCGCCGGGCCCGTGGTGCGCCGCCACGTTCACGCCCATGTTCATGTTCATGGGGCTGTAGTTAGGGAACTGCGCGCCGGCCGTGTAGGGGTCCGTGCGCGGGCTGGCCACGGGGCGGTACGGGTCGGCGCGGCCGAACAGCTCCCCGCGCAGCCCCAGGTGGACCTGGTTGTTGTCCACGTGCCCTGTGGGCGACGGGTGCCCGGCGCCCTGCTCATGCAGCCCAGGGAAGAGCAGGTAGCCAGGGGGCTCGGGAATGCCAGCCGGAGCGTGCAGGCTGCTCGCCGAGCCGGCGAAGAGCCCGTGTTGCCCGCCACCCGAGGCCGCCTCGCCGAGCCCGGAGCCGCGCTGGCGGAACAGAAAGTCGCGCGTGGAGTTGAAGGCGGCGGAGGCGGCACCGCCGTAGCTGGGCACCTGGGCGGCGTGGTGATGGTGGTGATGGTGGTGGTGATGATGGCCCAGGGCGTTGGCGTAACCCGAGCCCTGCGGCGTGAACGCAGAGCTCTGGCCCGAAGACAGATCGTGAGCCGCGGCGGGGCTCAGCTTGAAGGCAGCAGCGGCGGCGGCGGCGGCAGCGTGGGGCGAGTCCCCGAAGGGATTCAGCCCCATGCCCGCCGGCTCGCGGTTGGGCATCTCGTGGTGGCGCGGCGCGCCGAAGCTGCCCACTCCCAGCCCGGGGAACTGCGGGCCTCCGTCCAGGAGCATCGTCATGGGTGGGGCGTTCTCGGCACAGGCGACACCGCTGAATTGAGCGAGGGTGCGGGCGAAGGAGATCTCCGAAGTGCTGTAGTCGGCGAGGGGTGGCGGCCGTTGGACACTGCCGGGAGACCCCCAAGGCGGTACCAGGGGCTGCAACTTTCCGTCGCTCTGAGAGTCTCCTGCAGAGGGAAGAGGGAGGAGGGGAAGTAGTAGAGCAGGAGGGGGGGAGGAGGGGGGAAGAAGGAGCGGGGAGAAGGGAGGAGAAAAGACTCTGGGACTAGATCTGGTTTAACAAACTAACAGGCGCGCACAAAGAAAAATAAGCAAAATAATAAGTGGAGGGCGGAGTTGGCCAATCCGGTCCCGGGCACCTCTCCTCTCCCCGAGAGTGCAGCACCGCGGGGCCAGAAGGCTCCCTCGGCACCGGCCTTCCGACTGGGCTGCGCTGCGTGGCAGAGCCGGCTCGTGGCCGGCGGGCAGGCAGCGGGCTGGAGGCAGGCTCGGTCCTCGCCGCTCGCCGCGCGAGTCCCAGCCTCTTCGCCTCCAGAGTAATGTCCTTGGACTGATAAAGTCAATCACTCACTCCTCTCACATAAACCGAGCGGGAGGCCGCGCCGCGCGCGCCAATGGGGAACCGGCAGGCCCGTGGTCACCTGACCCCCGGCCCTGCAGCCCATTGGCCACCGCGACGCTGATTGGCAGCGCGGAGCGGGGAACATGGCAGCTGCAGCCGAGCGACCGCCGCTGATTGGACCGTGGCCGGGCTCCTGGCAGGTGAGGCGGCGGCGGCGGCCAGGCGCTCGCGAGTGGACTCCGCGGAGCTTGCGCTGCTGTGGGGAACTGGAGACGGGCTCGAGTCAGCGGCCGGCGGGGCGGAGCCGGGCCTCTCCCCCTGGCTTCCCTTCGGCCCGAAGCGGGCGAGCGCCCCTCACGCGCTTTACCCTCTTGGGCCAAATGCACTCTGCCCCGCAGGGATCGTTCCCACCGTCGGCGCGGCGCCGGACGTCCAGTCCCGCTTGGGCCCCCGCCGCCTCACCACCCTGAGAAAGCGCCCTCTCGGCGGCCGCGGGGCGCCGATCGTGGGGCAAGCACAGCAGCTCCAGGTTCACGGCCCATTAGCTGCGTCCTCCGCACACGCCGCAGTGGGCCCTGATGGCTCCCAGAACACGGACCCGGGCCGGCCGGCTCGCCGTCCGGGCCCCAAGCTGCTGCTGGCCGTCTGAGGCCCAAACCAGGGGGAAAGATGGCAATTAGAGCCGATCTCCCTTGCTTCCGTCGGAGCCAAGCGTTGACTCTTTAGTTTGTGACTGGTGGCTGTCCTCAACACTGCCCCTGCCTCCCCCCCATATATGACACACCAGCCACAATTCAACAAACATACAGCACAGTAAACGCCAGCATGTAGCTAGGAACACGCACGCAGCACAGTTTACACTCAGAGCTAAACACAGCAGTAAGCACACAACACAGCAATGCGACAAAGTACACACGAAACAGTAAAAACATAGGCACATAACAAACCGAACAGCTAACGGAGGCAATACACCCACATAACACAGCAAACACAGAAATACAAATACTAAACACGCACAGAATATACTTACATGTGCAAACAAAACACGCACATTACACACTAAACACACTATATAGCAAATTAACTAGACACACACAGGATCAGCCTGGTTTCCAACCCAAAGGGGAATCTGCTTCGAATTCTCAGCATTTTCAAATGCAAAACTGGGGGCAGGGGCGGGAATGGGGACTGTGAGGTGGAATTTCTTAGCCTCGGAACTGCGGAGGCTTTGCTCTCCTCTCTACTCTTACCCAGAGAAGCACACAGTGACCTCAGGGAGTTCTTACCCCTTGAGGATTTACTTTCCAGAGTTTGTTGAATCACATCCACCCCCCCCACCCCCACCCCCACCCCGCCTGGTGCTAGGTCTTTCTGGACTTAATGGCCAGGTTCAGACAGGACTATAAATCCACTCATTTTTTTTGTCCGGCGGGGCATTTGCAAAGAATGCAGGAGAGTGGCAGTGGAAAGAAGAGGCCCACAGAAAGATGGCAGTGATTGTCACATCCCGAACGGGGCGAGCCCCCAAAGTCGGCGCCTTGAGTCAGCCTCACAGCCTGGCCGCCATCTCCCTGTAGGAAACAACATCTGATCAAGTTCAGAGGCGCTTGGAGAGACAGCCTCAAGCAGCGCTTTCTTACTGCAGCCTTTCACTTCCTGCCCCCCAATCTGCCTGGCCTGGAAAAGGCTTCACCTTCTTTCTTAGCCATTATGCTGGGGGTGAGGGGGGCCCTGCCGGTAGCACACTAACCGTAGTCACCCCCTCCTAACCAACTGGCCCCAATTCTCCCTCTCCATCCACAGCTCTCTCCCCAGGTCGGAGGGTGAGTTCATTACTGACTTATATGATTACATCTACCGAAACTAGCCTTTCCAAGGTTTCACGGCCGCTCAGCAGAAGGTTTCTTTGCGGGGGGGGGGGGGGGGAGGGGGCTCCAAGAAGAACAAATATGCCTAAATCATGCAAATGAATTCCCTGGAGTCAGGGTTACAAAAAGCAAGGATTGCTTTTCTTTCTTTCCCCCTTTCTTTTCACTTTGCCCTTTATATCCTTCCCTCTACCTCTCTTCACTCCCACCGACCCCCACGGACCCTGGGCGCGGAGTCGCCTAGAAAAAGTTTGGATTTCCTCCCGTCGCCAGTGCGGAGGAGAGCGGTGCTCCAGGCTTGGGGGAGGAGGGGCGCGGGTGGGGGGGTGCTGTCAGGCCCTAGCATGGCCAGCGCTGGCGCGAGGGTTTGCCGGGAGCCCAGCCAGGTACCCCCCCCCCCGCCCCGAGAACCTGGGGCCTTGCTCGTCTGGGAGGCAGGACGGGCAGCTGGGAGAGGGGGCCGAGGGAGCCCAGGCGGCCCCTTCTGGAGGAGGGGTCCTGAGCGCAGGGCAGCGGGATGTTACCGCTGCTGACCTACCGGGTGCCCAGTGTCCGTTTTGATATGGCCACATTCCGATAATTAATTGCCTCCAGCACGTGCTCTGTAGCCCCTGTAACAAAAAGGCATAATTCAATTAGATCATCAACCGAGAAGTGGGAAGGGGGGGGTTGCTTGTTAAGCGGCCGACCTGAGGCGGTGGAGCCCTTCCTGGGACAGCCCAGCCCAGCCCGACTCAGCGACTCTGAGGGGGTGTCCGTGCTCTGGGAGGCGCAAGGTCCCCAGATGGCCCCCGAGGAGACGAGGCCAGGGGCTTTGTGAACAGCAGGACAGAGGCAGACCTTTTCGAATTCTATTTTGGTAGGTTGGTGTAGCTGTTTCCTTTTTGGGAGGGTGAATCCCTGACCCTCAAAACAGAGAGGAGGCGAAATCTCTCCAGATACAGCAAGTTGGCCACATATGAAAACAAAGCCCCCTCCTCCAAAGCAAACCACTCCTGTTAGGCAGTAATAGTAATAATAATAAAGTGAAGTTTTCCTGATTACCTGCAGTCCTCACCCCACAACTTGCTTTTCAGAGGATACCCTGGGAAGAACTTTGGGGCTCAGAGTGTTGCGCTTTGGGGAGCTGTTTCTGAAAACAGAGTGGTGGCGGAAAAAGAAAAGCAAAGAAAAGTTTTTATTGCACCCAGGCTGGAGAGAGAAGGCAGGAGTTCTCGTTCCCTCGTTTTTCAGGTGAAGAAAGGAATCACTGGGCTGGGCAAGGCAGGGCAACTCGAACCCAGGGGTTGTGGTTCTTATTTTACGCTATAACCGGGGCTTCTTCGGCAGCCTTGGCTTACTGGGGTTTACATGTGTATTAGGCAGCGTCAATTAACCAATAAATCTCTTTTATGCGACCCCCAGTTGTATGTGGTCTGGTCTAAATATCCACATGTCTGTATGGATAAGAAATATAATGAGATCCGTTCCCTCACACTGAGTTCAAACAGTAAATAGGAAAAAGATTTATTCTCATGCCCAAATCTGGAGCAATAAATAAAATCAGTGAAACTGGTTTTTCCCAAACAAGCAAAGCTGAGCCTGAATTTTCAGATCCATCTTAAAAAGAAGCAGGAGGGAAAGAAACACAACGTCCAGACGGGCAGGAGGGACGAACTGATTACTCCATACAACCCAGACCCCGCTCCGCATCACTTTTCTTCTCACTCCAGCCTCCAATAAAAACAAAACATGTACAGCACATTGTGCTATCGGGCAGGATTTCTTTCTAAACACTTTTTCTGTGGCGGACATGAAATTATCCTACGTCGGAGACCTAGCAATTTTCTTTAAGTCCAAGGGAAACACTGCGGTCTTTTCTTCTGTTTTGTATTTAGAAAAGACTTGCAATCTAACACTCGCAACATTTTAAAGACCCTTTAAACCCAGCAAGCGGATTTCCGTTCTGCCAATGCTTCCTGATTTATTTCAATAAATGAATCTTTGAATCCAGGAAGGGAATTATTCCAAGACGCTGAATTTGGTGCCCCTGCCTCTTCCTACTGGAGCACAGAGTGTTTCTCGTTGAAACATGTCCTTGAAACACCATTATTCGCATTTTTTTTCTTTCTGGTAAACGACACTTTCTTTACATAAATCCCCACCCTCTCTTCAGAGTCCTAGATCTCTCTAAAAGAAAAACTGCACGTCACGATAAAAAATGAAAGGCGAGAAAGCTGGGAAAGGAATGCGTTTTTAACTCCTCTTTATTTTTATGCTAAGATAAAGCTCTTAATTGGCTTCAGGGGCCGAGCTCAACTATCGATCTCTGGAACCCCGGGACGGGCGGACACTGGCCAACCGCTCATTTGGGTTCCAGATTTGATTGGCCACATTAGAGTTTTCACCACACTCCCATCATTGGACAAATATTTTATAAGCCCTAAATGCCCTGAAAATACAATAGCGAATGAGCAAATAGATATTGTTAATCAACCCTTTTAAAGATTCTGTTTTGCTTTTGTCCTCTAGTGTTAGACACATCGCTGACCAATGTAATGAAATGCAAACCAGACCGGGAGTGAGACATT